ATTATTACACATTTGAAATATCTGCACTGTGTTTAGACTATATTCACCTGTCTAATTAGGTCAGTTGTAAACAATTTTTAGATAATAGTTTCCTCTGTTAAAGTTGTACATTTCATAAAGAGTGCTATAGAAATTAAATTAATGTAAACAATTATGACCCCTAGATTAACCAGTAAGGCCAATAGAGAGAAGCTGAAAAATTTGGACCTGTCATTAATTAAAAATGAGTTTCTAGTCCAAATTAGCATTGCATAATTGCAGGGAAAATATCAAGAAATAAAGCCAGGTAAATAGGCTTATTTTGTTTGGATCTCATTGTTCTGGGACAGTTTGGTTTAATTATCGCTTCGTTTATTCGTTCACCCTTCAGTCATGTCATCATTCATTCACAAGGCACTTATTGCCTCTTCTTGGGGACAATAAAGAAGACTGTAGCAGGCCAAGAGTAAGCAAAACTGCAGTAGAGTGCCTTGAGTATTTTGCTAAAGGAAGCACAGGAAGCATTAATACTTCCATAGGAACTGATAGAACAGGGTTAAGCTAATTTAGTAGGTCGGGGAGGGAGGTCTCAGAGGAAAAGATGTTTAAGTACAAATGGACGAGATTGTTTAGCATTCGAATTGGAATCATTTATAGATTTCCATGAAAAATGGTGTCTTGGTGTAAATCTGAAGATATTTATGTGAACAGAGTAATTTAGCAACTGACTAGCGCAGATCACTTGAGGGCAGGGCCATGTGTTGTTCATCTTGTGTCTCCAGCACCCACAATCTGCCAAGAGCATGGTGCACACACAGTACATGCTATTGAAATAATTCATAACTAAACACAAGCAATGCCCATTTTGTTGCTTTTACAAAATATGCCAATTTAGGTACCACATATTTTTATCCATATAATTTCCAATAATCGAATATTACATGTTGATAAATTAATGTTAACTCTTAGTGACTGAAAAAAAACTCATAAAAGAACATGCATTTTTGAAAAATCATCTTTTTGTGTTTTGTTTTGCATTTTGTCTCTGATTTACTGGATTTCTTGAAGCTAAGTATGTCTTTCGACTAATTTATGCTTCCTCAAAGCTAACTCAGATTTTGATATAAGCAGTTTTGCTACTAATTTGAGGCAACACTGGTTTGATCTAGGCAAATATAAATGGACTTGGTTTCTAGAATTGCCTAAGCCCCATTTTTAATCCTAAAGTTCTTCTATGCCTTTATATAATCTTTTACATGAGTGCGTTATTTATTTTCTTCATGATTCTTATTTCTCACTTTTAACTGGCTAAGTAGAAAATAGTTACAATTTTCTTTTATCCTGTGAAAAAATTCAAATAGTTCCTCTTTTTATGGTTTCTTCTTATGTTTCATTTTTTCCCGCCAATATTACCATCTGCTTGTTTTATTTTTGTTCCCAGTGATACCCACAGTGAAATTTCCATCCACAGTCTCTGTTGATTTATGCTTGGAAATGTTTATTTCTGGCATTGTTAACTTTCTTGATATGTCTGGGACTTGGGCTTGTTACACTCCCTCTTGGTTCAGGTTTCCTTCTCACACATTTACTCCACACCTACTTTGAACTTTTCTTAAGATGAGAGCTTAAATTACCAAATAAGTTTCTTTCCCACTACAGATTTAAGGGTGGAAAAAGAAGCAAGGTCAGAGGAGGGAGAGAGTTAACGATGTTCAAAAATGCCCAGCTGTTTTTAAAACTTGGTAGAAGGGACAAGCATTTTGCCCTAATTTAACTTCAGACAGATCAGTCACCCTGGCAATGGTCATCTTGGTCATGCTGCTGGCATCCATTGGCCTGGTTTGTGTTTGAGGTGGTAACATATTCCTCTCCAGACCCCTCACGAATGCTTGAACCTCAAATGGACTCCTGGATTGCAAGCCCTAAAAATTTCCTTAGAAATCAGAGTTTGCCTGAGTGAAAAGGAGGATCCACTCATTTATAGCCAGTATTTGTTTGCAACAAGGGCCTGAGCTATGAGTTTCAGCAGTGGGCAGCCATTCATTTTGTGCCTGATCATTGATGAAATTTGATCACAGGAGTAGAACTTTCTTCTCAAACCCAGCTGTTACTCAGCTTATATCCTGAAGGATAAGGATTGATCACCCTGGTAATTTTATCTCCCTGATATAACTGCAGATGTTATTCTAATTCATAGGCAACTAATCGTCATCAAGTTTTGCAGAGTTAATTGTCTGCCTAGATGCCGTCTACATGTGTATATGTAATGGACAAGGCTTGATTGACCAATGCTGGAACTCTCAGTTCAGTCCTTTATTGCAAACAAACATTGGATATAGAGAACAGGTCCCTTTATTACTCAAGCAAACTATGAGATTTATAAGAAAAATGACTTATTTAACCACAGAAGCCAAAGGAAATTATTGCCTTTATTTTAGGAATGTTTGCAATATGTCTTATGGAGACAATGCAGGTATTACCCCCATTTTACTGATCAAGAGAACTGAGGCATGTGGTCAAAGGATCTGAGTAAGCTTAATACAAAATAACAGCAGCAGCAGCAGCAACAGTGAAACCTTGGCATAGGAGAGAGCATCAGGTCTGATATTTTATTTTTATTTAACTTAGAGATGTAATACCACACAGTAAATCTATCAGTTCCAGGTGCCAAATTAATATAAGTGTATATGTGGCATTGAATTTGCAAAATGAAAGGCAGAGAATTGACAAAGAAAATGAATTACTGTCTATCTTCTTATAAATCCAATAAGGAGAAGTAAGGTGCAAGATATAAATCACCAGAGTGGAAGCGGGGTGATGATGAATATGTATGTGCATGGGTGTGTGTATATCATCCTTTGACGTGGAGTCCGCGTGCAAGGCAAGGCTGTCAGTTCAGTCGGTCAGGAAAGAGGCTGCAAGGGGAGCCAGTTGGGGTGCCTGTTACAGTGTTGTTCTTACAAATAAAGGAGAATGACCCCAAATGTGGAATTTTGGAATGAATAGTCTTCATCTTTAGAGGCTCTCTTTCCAGCCACAGCTCTCCAGAACTGAAAACAGGAAGAGAGAAATATAGAGAGAGCAAAATACTGAGATTTTTTTCTTCCCTTGGCATAACTTTTTTCATAACTCTGTGGGCAAAATGACACTTTCCAGATACACCAAGGACCACGTATTATTGATGAAATAACATTTGCTCAGATCCCACCTATTGTGGGATAGAAGCTGCTACTGAAACAAGTTACTTGTGAAATGGGATAAAATTTAATCTATTCAGGTCTATGCTTTTCAGGTCTAAGGTTTCTTCCTTCATCCCACAGATATTGGTTTCAAAGTCTACCCATTGACCTGGGCGGTTTCAGAATATAGAACAATGAACAAGATGCAATTCCTGCCTTCACAACATACACCACCTGTGTAAAACATTTGCAATATGTCTGGATAGATGCTATAAGTGACAAGCACAGCCTTCCATAGAATCACTAACTCAGTGTTTGGGAGAGAATGGAATAAGGACAGTATTCGGGAGACAATGGAGTGAGGAAGACCAGCCAGGGAAGGTCACGTGTGGCCGGTCCTGGTGAAGATTCCTGTTCTTCTTCACCTTGAGATGCCAGAGTACCCTGGCACTCAGTCTTCTCTTTTCCATCTGCCCTTCCAACCTAAGCCTGAATGGTCTCTGAGATCTCTCATCTCAGGTTCTGTCCATGTCCCAAACTCATGTCTCAGCTCTGCCCCAGATTTCCACATGCTTACATCCTTCTCAGGTGTCCGCAGGTAACCTCACCTGAGCCTGCGCCCAACTGACACTTGGCTTTTGCTTGTTTGTTTTCGCTCCCAAATTTGTTCCTCCCTTTGTCTTCCCAAGTTCGCATCCCTTACACTGCTGCTCAGGCCAAAAATCCTAGAAAGCACTCTCTACTCTTTGCCCTGCTAGTGTCTTAGATGGGCCACTTCTCACTATGTCAGTCAGCACCACCCTAATTCAGACCACCTGAGTCTCTTGAGTAAAACACCTTAATAGCATTGGAAAGGTTTCCCTGTTTCTGTTCATTCTTCCTAAATTAGATTCTCTCTGTGCCAATGTGAATGACATTTTAAAATGCAAATCAAATTATATCACCCCTGCACAAAACCTTCCAAAGGCTTCCCCACACATTTAGCTTAAGTTCCCGAAGCTTTACTGTGGTCTGGAAAACAAGAGACCGTCTCTTAAATCCCCACCTCATTAGCTTCGTATTCTATGCTTGTGTTTACAAAACTAAAAAAAAATCTACATTCATTTGCTCCTTCTAACAACTCTCAATTGTGGGTGTTACTGTAACTTCACTTTAGAAAACACAAAGAGAGACTCAGAAAGATTAAATGATTTTCCTAAGTTTTACATGGCTGGTAAAATTTGGATACGCTCTTTTACAGTGACATCTGGGTACTTGAACTTCCAGCCAGAGTTCTTTCTGCCGTGTCACAGTGAACAATGAAATACACACAAAAAGCTGTACGAGCTCTTGACCCTCTAAAACAGTAACAACAATAATGGCAGTTTAAGTTGTGATAAGAATGTAGTTTCAAACACTTGAAAACGCAGTGTTTATTTCATGCACATTAGAACACTGACAACAAGTCTGGTTTGCCCACATCCACTTCCAATCCTATGACCTCATGCAAGGAGGCTCCAGTCTCTCTCCATGCCCACGAGGAGTCAGTTGCAACATCCATGGAAACACAGAGCTCTGGGAGAGATCTGGCATAAACCACTGGCAGACGTTTTTCTTTCTTTACCAAATGTCCTGCCGTCTCCGTGCATATCTGGCAATAGCTTCTCTTTCACCCTTTTGCCATCATCCCTTCCGGGATCCCACCCACCTCACTGGAGGAATGTCCTGCTGCAACTCCAAGCCTGTACCTGCAGCAGGTTTGCTTAGGGTTCCCCGTATCCCTTAATTTCTACAGAACAGATAGGAAAAGAGGGCAAGAAAAATGCCTCTCTTTAGTCTCATGACTGATTTACTTTTTTACAGGGTTTGAAGTGGATCCTCCCTTGGGGCTCAGGATGGCTTGCTGGAGTGCTGAGCTACTCCACACGGAAGCCCCCATCCCTGAGCACCCGCAGAATACCCGAAGAGCTGCAAGCCACGGGGGACTCAGGCCAGCTCTACATCTGGTGACCCCTGGGTGTTGCTGCAAAGTCCAAGCTTTGTCCTCTCACCCCTTGGCCCTACAGGAGGGAGGAAGCATCCTACTGGGAAGATTCCCTCTGCACCCTCTGCACCCTGGTATGGAGGTGACCTCGGGACAGAGCCAAGGTAGGTGGCCCGCAGGATGGCGCCTGTGCCTGCTGAGGGGCTTCCTGAGCAGTCTCGCCAGGTTCACCCCTGCCTGACTTCTCAGTTCCATTGTGCTTTTTTATTAGCTGGTAATTCTTATCTTTCATATAAACAATTAGCAACTGGGTGGAAATAGCTATTTTGCAGACATCTCCCCCTTTCCTTTGGGATGTGAGGTTATAAGTGAGGTGAGGAAAGTTTGTTTTGATTGTGCGAAGAAAGAAGCCAATCTCTTTTGGTTTACCCAAATTTACAAGAACGTTACATCATCTTTCCTTTTGAAATGGGCCTTTTAATACTAATACAGGCACGTAATCCATGGCTACAAAAATGCCAAACATCTGGAAGAGAATAAAAATTCAGTCAAAAATAGATATTGCCAAATAGCTGGATGTTTGCTCTAAGATAAATCAAGTAGCCCCTTTTTTTTTTTTTACTCATTTTTTTCAGACTTCAATTAGATGCTTTGTACTCCTTAGACGTGACTGTCAAAGCTTTTTAGTGAATAACTGAAAATTAGGATGTGGCCCCGAGACCTGCAGCGGGAGGGCTGTGAGGGGCGTGAGGAAAGCGTGGATACACGCCTTCCCGGCTTTGAGCGGCTCTGTCAGGTCTCCGGGAGGTTTGAGAGGTTTGCTCACCAGCCTCCTGAGCCGCCAACAGGTGCAGGGTTACGCTTCCCAGTTCGCTTATGGGAACGCACAGAGCTGCCTGACTTTATTATCTCGTTTCATCAGCGAGGAGGCCGCACCTCCAGAGGGGCCCTGGGGAGGATGCTGGGAGGTGGAGGGAACAAAAGGTTTCCGTTGTTCCAGGGATGGTGTTATCCTTGTTACTCGTATTGATTAATGCAGAGGGAAAAGGCAGAGAACTGCGTTTGTCCGAACGGTTTGCTGTAGACAAGCCGGCGGCTGCGCTGGGTGATTTACAGCGGGTTTAAGCGCTGCGCCCGGCCTGTGACTAACATCTAGGGCATGGTGTGTGATTAGATCGTAAAATTTTATTGTATGGTTATTTATTTATGTTTCTATAAACTAAAACAGACATTTGACCTGACTGGTGTACAGATTCGAAAAAGTAAAAAAAAATAAAAAAATTCACTTATTCTGATAGTGTTTGTTCAAGAAGCATGGATTTGATTGTCGTCCCACTGAAATTTGAATAAGCATGAATTGATTTTTGGTATGCTGGACTATGTTTTGTTTCATTTTATTATTTTATTTTATTTTTGTTTGGCCTTAGGAAATGGATCAAAGCTTACACAATAGCTCATTGCTAATACGCTTTTTAAGTAAAATGTGTTAAATGCTCTCATTTGTTTAGTTGGCTAGTGGGGCAGCAAAAAAGATGGGATAAAATTTTTTCTCACCTTGTTTCTTCATTGTTTTACATCTTCCAATATATTGTGAGAAATATTACAGTGGTAGGTGAAATGCATTTGTAAAAAATTGGTTTTTTTCTTTATTGTAGATAAGCATCTCTAAGGAATATGATCATTTATATACGCCTATGTATCAAAATGAACCCGCCAAATATTTTGTCTTTGGGATTGTGTTGGTGTGGGCGTCCTGGCCTTGCTTTCCCATGATGAGCAGCTAGCTCCTGGAGGCCAAGAGAGGCCATTCCCAGGGGTTGGCATGGGGACACAGCTGCCTGCAAGTCAGTACCTGGCCCTGCCAAACCAGGGCCCTGGATCAGCCTCAGACAGCCAATTTAGAGCAACAGGGAGACAACTTAGACCCTGGCCGCCTTGAGGGTATCCTAGTCTGCCCCCAAGGGAAAACCTGGCACCAATTCTGACTTGACCCAGGGCAGCCATCCGAACCTCTGAAGTGCTACCGAGTATAAGGGGACACTCGGGAGAGTGGCACACTATGGCTCCATCTCCTCTTAATGAATACCAGCAGTCTGTGTTTATGACCTACCATCTACTTACTGATAGAGATGCGTCCGATGCCGGCTCAGACCCTGCAACTGCTGCTGCTTGGGGAAGGGCGGCCTCAGCTTCCCTACACTTCCGGGTGGGCCATTTCAGCTGAATAGTTAGGACTTAAGGAGATAATCCCAGTGCCAATTTTCCTTGCGTAGGTAGAGAAAGTATCTGATGGCAAGTTCCTAAGCTGTGGGAAGCCTGTTCCCTCACGGGCAGGAAGGTTGTGGAAGAAGAGGTTTGCACACCCTTGAGATGGCAAGCCTACTGCTGTGCTCCATCAGTGAGTGCCACTGGCCCCATGAGCTGGGATTCGGGGTGCAGCCGAGCACAGCTTCTGTGTCTTACTGGGCTCGTTCTTTTCTGACAGACTGACTCTCTTTCGCTGACTCTTATGTTGCACTAGACTCCCAGTAACCCCCCCTCGGGTTGAGTTTGAGTGTTACTTGCTACACACAGATCATGAATTTCATTAAATTCACATAAAGCGCCTGTAGGAAAATGAGGTACTTTGAATCTAAAAGAGGAAGCAAAGTGAACAGACATGTGCATGTGAATAATGTACAGTTTGGCCTATTTTGTAAAACCAAATAACTGTTGAACATGACATTCTCATGGGAGGTGTGGTATAATAAAGTTGGTATATTAAGTACATAATAGGGACCAATAAAAGCAAAACTGAATTATAAAGGAGAAAAAACTAATTTAACTATCATAATTGAAAATAGTAGCCAAAGGAAAATCATGGTCCTGGCAAACCAAATGACCCTCAGTTTCAAAAGGTTCCCTTTGTCCCTGGCCTCCCAAAGGTGTTGCTTATTATTGGGAAAACACAATCCCCACAGAGAACCAAATATTCTATTCATCGAACTTCCAGGAAGTCAAATAGCAATTTGTTAAATAAAAGACTTTCCTGCTCTAAATAAATATGGTACGGAAAAGCTAACCACCTTTCTTTGGAAGGGCCCTTTGGAATTGATTTTGCTTTTATTTAATTTGGGCTCAGGCTTGGGTTGAGGCAGCTAAAAGTAGTTGTTATTCTCAGTGCTGTTTCTACACGAAGCTGTAGTAGAATAAAAGTATGTACAAATTAATTAAAACAACTGCAAATGCAGGTGGTTTAAAGCACAGACTGAGTGGCTTTGCAGCAAACCGATCCATCCCACATGCATGTGCAGAGCTGTTGGTCACCCATTGCTAGAGGAACAACAATGCAGATGAAAAACATCAGTGTATGTGGGAAGTATGAAGACCACCTTCTTTGTTGGCTGTGGCCGAAGGCAGCAATAACTATAATCACTTTTTACTGCCTAAAGATTTTATATAAGCAAACTCAAGCCATAAGCCTTAAAAGTGGGATTGTTTTCTCAGCCTTTTCTCCAACCACATTGGACCACTTATTATTATGCTTTTTGGCCTAGTTTTCCTAGGTTTGGTAGTTTGGTCTTTGCAGTTCACCAGTTGGCATTAGGGAAATGCCCTTTGCCGTTCAGTGTGGTCTCTGTTGATTATGATTTTGGTAGCAAAGTAGAAAATGAACATGTATTAACAAATAATAAAAGCCCATCTCTCAAGTTCATTTGCACTTTGAAGATCAGATTATGAAAGGTGAAGCTATCAGGTGAACGGCAATACAATGTGATGGCTGGACCTTGTCCAATAGTACCTGTAGCAGCTGTCAACCTAATTAAGCCAGATGCGCATTCAATGTAAACGGACCTCCCAAGAGGAATACTAAGAGATTTCAGGCTCTGACAAAAGACAAAAGGCAGTGGTGGAATGAATTTAAGAGAAGTGGGGCTGAGGCCCAGAGAATGTTTCTGATGTCAATGTCACTGTTACCTGGCAGACTCTCAGCTCATTAGTGTCACCTTGATTGAACTCGGTTGAAAGAGTCCTATAGGTGGGTGAGAAAAGTGGTTTATTTTAAGTGAAACTTGAGTAAATTTTCATATTCAATAAAATGGTATTTACTAAACTCTTTCATCTTTAACACACACACACACACACACGTACACATACACACATGCACATATGCACACGCTCAAAACCTCAGCCTGACTTTAAGTCCTCAGTTATTTAAAAAATGACATTTAAGCCATGCCAACTTTGACAGCCCTTCAAGTGAGTATGCAAACCATGAGCCAAGAAAAGGACACCAACAGGCCTTTTGATGTTCTTAGCTTATATGCCATCCCCAAATCAGGATGCACACTGGGCAAACTTTATGCAACCCTCCTGACTATATAAAACAAACACTCTGTAAACAGTAAAATGTAAGGTACAATAGTATGAGTGTTATGTTAAAAAAAAACAAAAAAAAACACTGTAACTTCCAGGAGATTTTTTCCATTCATGCTATAAAATGTCATATCTCCAAAACAGAAGTGTTTGAGAGGCAGACCTTTAAGCTTAGCCAGGAAAATGCTTCTCAGAAAATTTTCCTTCGTGTTGCTGAATTTAGTAACTACCTTGACGAAACTCGTTCTAAGTTGCTATGTCTCTAAGAGAATTATAAGAAACAGCCAGCGCCTTCTAAACACTTGGTAGCTACTTCTTAATTCCTTTACAGAGAAACTTTATCAATTTTGCATGGTTGACATTAAATACTCTTTATTTAACAAACATATGTAGAGCAGATACAGTTTTAAATACTTTATAAATAATAACTTATTTAATGCTTATATCATAATAACCCTATGATATACCATTATTAACACCATTTTACAAATAAACAGAGGCACAGACAGTTTAAGTGGCTCACCAAGGTCACACAGATATACTCCTAATATACAGAAATGTTAATGGTTAGTAGGATCCTCTCTTATAGGAGGGACTAGAGCAAAGGATGTGATGAGAATCCTGCTGGAAAAGGTTAATTCAACCACAAATGGCAAACTTCCATCTCAGTGGATGCAGGGGAGGGTGTTCTCAAGCAAGCTTCTTTGGGTACAAAGAAGTGAGATTAAAAGGAAATTCCAGTGTGGTGAACACCACTTATGTGGAAAACAGGAGGCTTGAAAATCAAGGCTGAATTTTAAATATTGTT